TGTGTGTGTGTGTGTGTGTGTGTGTGTGTGTGTGTGTGTGTGTGTGTGTGTGTGTGTGTGAGAGAGAGAGAGAGAGAGAGAGAGAGAGAGATTTCAGGGGTATGCACAGCGGCAACACACTGTCCAAATCACAAAGGGAGAATAAAGGAGTTAAAGATAGGTGCATCAAGAACACTTCATATTCCAAGGACCGAATCAATGCACACATCCTCTATGGGTTTTGACTCGGGCGGACACCGGGTGTTGCATACTCATGAAACACAGTCATAAGTATGGCGCAGATTCCCAGAACCGACCAGATAATACAGAGTAAGTACAAAATACAGATACATGGATCGACTCAGACCCTACTCAGACTGCAACGAAACACTCACAAACATACATCGGTGGTGTGAAAGCCCTGGCCTTGGACACAGAAGAAAAGGCCAGGGTCTGAGATCATACACGGACGAATGGAGGGAGAGGAGAGATGGAGGAGGAGAGGGAAGTTGACGTCAACACCATGAATCCAGAAATAGTATCTCGAAAGGCAAATCCCAAACGTTGTGAAAACAGTCTCATGGTGTCCCAGATGTCGATCTCCCAATATCAAGACACATCTCCAGAAGTAGATGAAGTCGGATCCCTGAAGTAGTCCTCAACCAATGTCTCAATGGTACTATCTCAACTGTCATCAGAACTCGTAACCATCCTCCATAGTTGTACTAGTCCAGTAGGAGCGACCCGAGAGTAGACTGAGACTAGAGGGCGAGTGAGAGAGGGAGAGAGAGAGCAAGAGCGGAGGAGGAAGAAGAGGGACGAAAGGCGGGCCTTTTCTCCCTGGTACCTGGTGGTACAGTGATGACGCTGCAGGGCTGGGTGCTGGGCCGCGGGCTGGGCCAGAGGGCCGGCGCTGCTCCTGCTTGCTGCGCTAGCTCGCTGCTGCGCTGTTCCTCCTTGCTGCTGCGCTAATCTCTCCAATGCTGAAATGCTGCGCTAATCTTGTAGACTAACCCGTAGCCTAACCTCCAGACTGACTGTCGACCAACCTACCGACTGAGGCTGGTACCCAGCTGATATAGTGCTGGGTCGGCCTCAGTCCTACTGAGGGCCTTCAGGTCTGGACCGTTGATCAGGCCCAACGGTTCAGATCCGATTTTGAATCTGAAGAGTGGCGCCTAAACTGCGCCGCCGGCCGGTCCTACCGATGGACCGGTATCTGACCTAACTAGCCGTTGGGTCTGGTGGGGTCTAAACGAGGCCTACCGGACCCTGGTCTGAACCGACGGTTCCTAGGCCTACCTGGACCTAACTGGGACTGTCGTGACCCAGTAACTAGGTGTTGCATACCGTATAGGTGCAGACCAGAACAAGAACCGACCTTTCAATACAAAGTATAAAATAGCACAGCGGAAGACTTAGATACCAATGATCCGAACAATCAATATTGCAATGCAGCCCCAAACATACATCATCATCCTCATTCCATGGTGTGAAGGGGTCTGGCGCTTCACACAGGAAGACTGCGCCAGCCCCAA